AAGTGGTCCTTAAGGCACGCTGGAGAAGCCAAGGGTAGAAACAGGAAGACCCTGTAGTGGTTAACAGGATATAGTAGAATCAGCCACCCAAGATCCATTTCCCAGTAACAGTCAACAGGATTTGGGATCTGACTTCACAAAGGAGGAAGGCAAAGGAAACAATGTACAACGAATGATAAAGCCCACACTCTGTCCCTCAAATCACAGTCACTGATGTGGCAAATCCTGGTGTTAAAAATGACCACATCCAGGGTCCACTCAAAGCTGGATCCTCTCACTTCATTTCTTCACCATCTTGACAGACATTCACCCAGCAACTACTAAGTGTCGAGCATGGAGGGAGGCACTGAGGAAGGGGCGAGGAATAAGCTAGGAAAGGCCTATCCTCAAAGAGCTCCTGCCAACAGCGCATCCATGCCGCAGTTAACTGCAACTGTGAAAATGAGCACTAGCGGTGTATGCAGCAGCAAGCAGAGGCAGCTGGGAAGACTGGGGAACACTGCCCTGGGAAGAAATGTTTGCTTGGGGACAGGGGAAGGCACAGAGTATCCAAAGCTGGACGGAGTAAAACCAGCAAGAGGAAGTGAGCTGTTGGAACAGAAGAGCAGGCAATGGATGATTGCAGCTTAGAGAGAGAAAACAGCGAAAGGTCTGCTCAGGCCAGCAGATTCTCTCTCCCTTTCCTCCTTTCCCTCTTTACATTTCATTTATTGAGAGAGAGAGAAGAGAGAGAGAGAGATAGACTGCATGTATCACACTATACATGCCAAGCTTAGATAATAACTACTGTGTCACTTCTTTCCTTCCACCATGTGAGTCCTGAGGATCAAACTCAGGAAGTCAGGTTTGGGGGCAACTGTCTCTACCCACTGAGCCATCTCACCGGCCCATTAGTTTTAAATAACCCGCTCTGAACTTCATCCGACCCCAATCTCCTCCGATTCTATATCTTCATACACTGACCCATAAATCCCACTAAATGCTGCACTGTAGCCCGCAGCTAAATGAAAGTAGAATGTTTCAGGTCCAAGTACACACACCTGGGAGCCCTGTCCTCCACAGTGTTTATGGAATCTTCTGGAAAAGTAGGTGAAGGTGACAGTAATCCTTAGCCTACATATTGGTTAAGGACTATTTAACCCCAGGCAGCATCTGTTTTTCTCTTTTTCTTTCTTTCTTTTTTCTGTTTGTAGAACTCTTCCTGCTTCGGCTTCCTGAGTCCCGGAATTACAACCACTCACCACCACACCCAGCTTCTAGCTTTGAACATTTCTTTCATTCATGAACTTGTAAGTGGAGCCCCGCACCGGCCTCTGGTTAACCTTTAACAGAAACTTCTAAAAGGTACTTCTGCTACCTCTCCTATAGGAATGCTAGTTTGAGAACCAATTTCATGTTACCCCTTCAAATTTTGTCTTGTTCCAGAAACACCCCCATTTCCATTGATAGTTCTTCGGGTCAAAGTTGTGTTCGAAAGAGAAAAAGCCACGGGCAGGCTCATCTGACATGGTGGGGGGTGAGAGGGGGGTCCCAGCTTGAGCCCTTGGAGGTAAGCTGACTTCGTAACAGCAAGCCTTTGAGTGCACCCTGTATATAACTCACATATACAGGAAAAGGTATGCTCGCTGTCCACACACGAGCTTCATCCAGGGACAGAAAGTTTTAGCATGTCCTGTAGAAGATGAAGTCAGGAGGCTCGCCTGTGGCCAGAACTACCTCACTAGTGGCCAGGTCTCTTTGTGTGCCAGGCACACCTCAGGAAGTGTAGGTGTGGGAAGTGAGTGGGAAGTGGCTTCTACGCCTGTGACTGCTTCTGTGAACTGTGCTCATTTGCAGACGGTATGCTGGGAGAAGAGCAATCCCGTTTCCCAGGTTTGTTCCTACTCTCTCTGTGGATGTCTGATGGCATAATTGTGACAGAGGACTTGCACAGGGCAACTGAAACAGAAGATTTGGAATCTAGTCCTATTTTAGGGCTTGGCCGGTCCCTTACTACCATGGAGGCAGTTACCAGAACGCTTAAAATCAGGGCTGTGTTCAAACCTTGCTCTGTGTATCAGTGGCTTTTCTGGACTGACTTATGTGTCCTGTCTACCCTTACCATCTGCCTACTCAAATGATGAAGCCCTAACTCCCATGTGATTGCACTTGGAGCCAGGGGCTTCGGGAGGTAGCTGAGGTTAAATGAGGTCATAAGAATGGGGTTTGAGATCTTAGATGGATGGGCTGCCATCCATCTAAGAAGTGGGAGCCCATGGAGAAGAGGTGTGTGAAAATACAGAAAGAAGAGGGAAATGTAGGACAAGGCCTCGTCCAAAGTTAACCTTGATCCCAGGCTACCAGCATGAAGAGCTGTGAGAAGAGAGATTTCTGTTATTTAGAGAGACCTGGTTTTTGAAACTGTGCCACAGCCTGTTTTCCTGAGAGGGGATAGCCTCTGACCCATGAATTGTTCACACAGAAACCATGTGTAAACCGAACAGGGAGCCTCTTGCCCGGCGAGGGCAAGTGCCGAATTCAACTGTAACTGCTACAAATACTGACGGCTGTTTTTGCCCAGGGTGACCCTATCTTGCTGAAGAACCTCCTACCCTGGGGTGGTAGAAAGATGCTAAAATGAGACCTACATTTAAAAAACTCTCCTTGACATGGGGAAGCCGGGAGTAGAGTACACATCTACCTGAGGAACATTTACAGGGGCACAACAAGGAAGACCAGGTCTTACTTTTATTTTCTGTTGCTGTGGCAAAACACCCACCCACAAAAGCAGTTGAAGGGGGAGAGGGTTTATTTTACCTTAGCGTTCCAAGTTACAGTCCACGGCTGTGGAGACATCAAGGCAGCAGGAACTGAGAGCAGCGAGTCTCACCCACAGTCAAGAGCAGAGGGAGAATAAACGCACTGTGCTCCGCTCACCGGGGCTCCCTTTTCATATAGCCCGCCACACAGATCTAGGGAATGGTGCTGCCCACTGTCAGCCTGGGGCTTCCCACATCAGCTGACATAATCAAGAGAATCCCCCAAAGGCGTGCCCACAGGCCAACCTAATCCAGACAACCCCTCCCCGAGACTCTTCCCAGGTAATTCTAGAATGTGTCAAGTGATAAAGCCAACCATCACAGCCTGCTAACGTCATTTCTGAACCCTCAGAGTTTATCTTAAAGACACAGAGAGATTTAACCCATAATACAGTCACATTTGCTTTCACCACAGTATCTGAAATGTAGGAAACCAAGATGACCTGCTTTACTTAAAGGCTGACACGGCTATTGTAGGTCACAGAAAAGTTCTGTTGTGATAATTCTGCAGGATTCTTTCAAAAATAGACATTATGGTCTGGTGGTGCTGGCATATACCTTTAATCCCAACACTTGGGAGGCAGAGGCAGGTGGATCTCTGTGAGACCAGCCTAGTCTACAAAGTGATTTCCAGGACAGCCAGGGTTACACAGGGAAACCCTGTCTCAAAAAAACCCATAAATAAATGAATAAATCACTACGATTAATTAACTTGAGGTACACAAGAATCACCTGCTCCGTCTCACTCATTAAGCCACACTGATCAGCTCCCATCGTGTGTTAGACACTCACAAGCCCCGTGGCTTTCTGGCTTCTGGAAGCCAGATGTACTAAGAGGACCCTGTGACAAGAGCTGTGAGGGACAAGGAAAGGAAGATAGAAAAGGTCAGAGTCCTTGAATGCTCTGGGCACCAAGAGATTCCTGGGAGATCCCTCGCCTAGCCAGACTGCCTGGAAGCTGCTTCTTTGAAGCGGCCACATAGGTTATGGAAACACTCAAACCTTAGTTCTCCATAGAGATTCTGGTGCTGGGAACCAGACCCCGTGGTAAGTGACACCTGAGGGTGATCTGAGGCTGGGGCACTGGGACAGCAGAAGGAATGAAAGGCGCTGATTCTGCTTTCCCGCCCAGATGGTAAGTGTACCCTCGCCCTGAAGCCAGTGAACCGGTGAGAACTGCCCTCAAATCCTGCCTCAGTCTTGAGGAACCATCTGTAAGCCCTTCCTCTAAAGTCCGCCTGCTCTCCAAGGACCCTGGAGAAGGTGGGTGCCGAGTTTTGTGCTGGAGAGGAGCGCATAAAGGAGAATGGGGTGGAGGGTCCTCTAAGGACCCCTGAAGTTATAATGGGGTATACCCTATGCACCTGCTCCAAGCACTCGTCCTAGCCCAAACACTTCCTTTTGGCCCTGGGGCCTCAGCAGAGCAAGCAGGGGGCGGGTTGTTAAGAGGACGGTAGGAAGGGAGAGGAATTTTCCATGAACAGCAACAACAATAGAAGCTGCTTCTCGTAAAAGACACAACACACTTTGCCAAGTGCCTTCACACCTGTGATCTCTGGATTCCAGAGGTGCAGGGCAGGACTCAGGCCTTTGACACTAACCGCCAGCTCAAGTAGGCTCACGCCCACAGCAGTGTCCCAACTTTTACTAAGACGTATGCTATCCCCATCCTAAGGACCCAGGAAGCATTTATCTTTGCCGAGGGCAGTCCCAACAGCAGTAATCCCCAGGACGCTAAAACGTCCGTCAAACACAGGCCGACGCGCCGAAGCGTGCTCACGCAGCCCCGCCTTCTCCAAAGCCTTAAGCAGCTACAAACTTTGGTCTCCTGGGCGCACAGGAGGAGACGCGTGTGGGGCTGTTCTAGAAGTGTATCCTGTACCCTGTAGTCCACCCTTTCCCTATGTGTGGCCGAGGAAGGGGCAGCTGGATGACCTCAAGAATCCTCGGGGGAGCTTTTCATAAAGTTAGGAAGCGGATTGTTCAAACACGCCCATTTCCCACTCACGAGTGTACTGAGACCTGGGCCACGGGGGGCTGACACGCACGGGAGTGCTCCCGCCGCAGGGAGGCACCTGTGCCCCAGTGTCTAGTGCCGCGCTCGGCAAGCCCCACCGCCACCTCTCCCCCTCCTTCTCAGTCCTGTCCGGTCTCTCGGATCTCCCAGGTTTCTCCCTTCCCGGCCGCAGTGGTGCCACTTACCCCTGGCTCGGTCCATGGCGCCGGCGACGACCCCGGAGCACCCAGCACCCAGCCCCTCGAGCAGCGGCTGCCTCAGGGGCGGCTTGCGCTCTCGGGGCGGCCCCGGCGGCCAGCTCGTCCCCTCCCCCAGACAGGATGCTCGCAGGACGCCCCCGCCCCGCCCTGCACGCTCCCGGAATAGCCCCAAGCACGCCTCGCCCCCTGCGCCGCCGGTGTCCCGGTCCCGCACTAGCCCAACGCCACGCCCTGCGTTCTGCCGCCCTCCTGCTGGGCTAGCCCGGACAGCCTCACTGCCCACTGCTCGCTTCGGTTCCCAGCCTGAGTGGCCGACCTGCCAGGACCACTCAGCTTGCTCTCCGCTAACAGGAAAGCCCGCTTCACTCCCCAGGCTGTCTGCGAAAACTTGCATTCCTCCTAAGGACTCAAGCCTGCCCCAACTTTTGGGCTTTGAGTTTATCATTTCCACTCTCAGAAGTTCTTTGAGCACCTTCCAGCATAGATGGCCAGGCTGATTTAAAAAAATAAAGAAAAGAAAAAGAAAAAGAAAGAAAGAAAAGAAAGAAGAAAGACAGTAAAGGAGTGTGAAAAATAAAAAACAAAGATCTTAAAAAAGAAAATCTCCCAGGAAAAGGAGAAACTGAAAATTGCTTAAACAGACAGGCGGCGGGGCCCACTTTCAACTTTCTAAGTTCCTAATGTACTAAAATGTGAAGAGATACCAAAACAGAGGGATAAACACGGTGGAATATTTTAGCACCAAAAATACAGTGCTGTGCACGCCTCTGATGAGAATTATGGTATGTAGAAAGTATATTGCTACAGCTCAGCCGAAAGATTTAGTTTTAAATTATAGGTGTCAACTCTTTCTTTCTTTCTTTCTTTCTTTCTTTCTTTCTTTCTTTCTTTCTTTCCTCCCTCCCTCCCTCCCTCCCTCCCTCCCTCCTTCCTTCCTTCCTTCTCTATTTTTCTTTTTAATTACTGTTAGGGTATGGCTGTGGAGCATATCAAAGGCCTGAATTTGAGTGTGTAAGTGCCATTCAAGCCCAATGCTTGGACACACTTCCCGGCCTTGCCCTGATTTCCTAAGTTTGGAATACTTCCATAAAGGCACGGGGTCAAGAATGACCCTCTCCTATTTTCTTCAGCTCCAACTATTTCCTCGCCATTGTTTTTACCTGCAGGTTGAAATTAACATTACCTTTGCAAAATGACCTCAATAGTTTGTTTAGTACATTTGCATGTAGCGTTCTCAGAGTGAACATGGTGTGATTAAAAAAAAATTAAAATGTGTTCTTAGTTTTTCCTTTCCTATCCAGTAGGTACTGCATGTAATGTCCCAATCTAGAGGCCTGCTTGCTCATCTTTACTGAGAGAGACCTCTTACTGACCTCACAGAGCTGTTGGCAGAGCAAATGAAATGATGATACAGACCCACTTTACAAACCATAAATAGCTATGAAAATGTGAGCCACTGTTAGTTTCCAAGTTCCTCTTTGTTCCTGCCCACTTTTCCAATTTGAAAAGGTCATTTTCAATTCTAAATTGGCTAACCAACAATTGCAAGTGGGTTTAACTTCCTAAGTCCACTGCTTGAACTCTGGAACTTGGAAGCCATCAGCACATTCTAAGTTCCCAGGCTAGCTTACTAATTCAACATTTTACCCAGAATATTTTGCAGCATTGACATTGAATTCAGGGTCTTCCTCATGCAAGTCAAACACTTTACTACAGAACATCACTCCAAGTTTTTCCTTCCTTCCTTCCTTCCTTCCTTCCTTCCTTCCTTCCTTCCTTC